GTCACACCCTGAGCAGATCCTGATACGCACACCCTCAATATGGGGCCCCTCAGGTGCTTCAGTACCCTGTCACACCCTGAGCAGATCCTGATACGCACACCCTCAATATGGGGCCCCTCAGGTGCTTCAGTACTCTGTCACACAGCAGGTTTGTGTGTTCCCTCCAAGTCTGTTCGCAACCAACGAGCGAAGTAGGTTGAAGTACCTGTGGGAACTCAGGGTCTTCACGGCCGCTGTGACCTCCCATAGTCTCTGTTGGGATAGAGTGCCAGGACTAGCACCTCTGTGATTATGCCCAGGTCCACTATCGTGAGCACCAGTCCTTATCACCATGGTTAGGAGATGGACCTGTGATATGGCTCAAAAGTCTATGAGCGGACCAGGGTGTGGCCCTAAGCAGAGACACTCCAACAATTATGTTCCGATTACAAACATGTTTCTAACCTATCGAGCCGACTCATATCAGAGCCCCAGGGTCGGAACGGTTCTGACTTTGCTTTTGATTTTGTTTGTATTGTTAATAATAATACTAATGATAATGGGATTCTCCCAAAATGATTGTGGATTGTCAATATTTTCTTTCAAAATTAAAGTCCCCCTGGGTCTTCATCTGTGAAGGCAACAAGAATATGTGGTCAGAAACTAACGTACCTTTACCTTGTAATTCTACCTTGGAATGCTTATAACTCTATGGCAGTTATCTCTAATAACATTCGCACTACCCTTCTGTTCAGCCTGGATTGAGGTTTCCCCTTGCGGCTGCACCCAGGGAGATTGGCAAAAGTTCCATGGACCTTCAATTTTTTGAAAAATTACCCTTACCATGCTAGTTTAATACTCTTTATTTCTGATCTCCTCAGACAACGCTCTCTTTTGCTTTCTTTGGTCCATGATCAGTGTGATGCACACAAAGATACCAAACAGCACAGTCACTAATTTCCTCCATTTATTGGAGACATGTGTGATATTAATTAAAGAAACAAATTGTTTGGAAAATCACTAGAAACCAATTATGTATTATCTTTACTATACCGGGCATTAACAAGTGTGTCCTGGCCATTATAGAATATCTTGTATATATACAATAATTCATCTATTTTCACAACTTCTTTGCTTTTTTCTAAGACAAACCAAAGGCTTGCAGGCATACATGCTCAAATAGCTTTTAACGTCATCACCTCCAGTCCCCTCTGTAAGCGTTAAGACATTTTGTTTTGTTTGATCATTTTGGGTCAATACTCAGTTTGCATTTGAAATCAAACAATCAGTCAAGTCTGTACCAATTCTGCCCCCAAGCTATAACAAAGAAGGCAGCCCAATAAAAAGACAATCATGTCAATTATTTTGAAAATGTCAACTTCCACTATCTCTGCTCATATACACACACACACACACACACACACACACACAGACACACAGACACACACACACACACACACACACACACATGCGCCACACACATATAACATGAATACACGTTTACGTGCACATTAACCTAAGAGGGTCTTGCCCCTCCTAATAATAGCCAAGTTTCCCGCTACTGTTAAGAATGGAACTGTGTGTCTATATTCCCTGTGTTACTGCAGTATGTTATGTTCTAATTATTACATGTTTGTAGCATTTCTGATGGTAGTCGAGAGGTGGGGGTGGGGGGGGGGTCCTAACTACTAATGCTATTTCTAATGTTATTAGTTCTGTCACTAAGAAAAATATGTTCTGCTTTGTGGCTTATGCAACAGTATGCTATTAAAAGTGAAGTTCAAGTTGCGTTCTAAAACTGGACTAACTTGCTGCAATAAAGACATGTTTCTTTTTGAAGGTCAAATTGTAACTTTATAAGGGGACTTAGAGAACATTATATTATTCAGGCTGTACAGCGGTTATTCACAAAGCATAAACTGACATCAATGTCATTAGGGACAGAGTGAAATGCTGCTGCTTTAGGGATCATTTGAATGCTGAGAAAGCGCGACGACGTTAGAACAGCGTTCAAAGCTTTCCACTCAATGAACAGGGTTTGCCGTTAAAAGCACAGAATTTGCTCAAAAAAATAAGTCTTGTATTTATAAATATGGTTGGGAGAGAGAAAAAGTACAAAATTAAAGTAAAGAGAGAGAATTCAGTCACATAAGTTGTTTTATTGTACAGAAGTGCACAATATGGTCTTGGATGATATCTCAATATTAAAAACACAATTTTTTTGGAAAATGATTCAATACACAAATAATGCTTTTATTGAATGGTTTGTAATACCGTTTACATACTCGTGTTCACTGACTTCACATTCTAGCTACCGTAATAGACTTGCTTTATATGAATATGAATATATATATATATATTAATAAACTCTCCATTTTCCTCTTATTGTTGGCTGCTGGCCATTGTCCTATCATATATCCTAAACAGTCTCCGATTTGAATGAGAAATCAATGTTACTGTCCATCCACTTAAATAACTTATGGCAGTCAACCATTTCATGCAAATGTACCCTCTAAATCTCTGCCAAGCCAGCACATCCCCAATTCCATCCCACCTTTTCCATTTCAACTTTCCGTTTCTCATTTTCTGCGTTGCCGTTTCTTTTTGTTGTGCGCCCTGTAGCTCATGGATCTGTTGGAACAATCTGTTTTCACATGCACGGCCAGGTAGGCCAAAGTGTTGTGGAGATCTCCTGAGGTCTCTCCCTGAGACTGTCCGCTAATACAGACTAGCTGTCCTGGGGAAGACAGCATGACCCAGCCGTTGCCAGGTTGAATATAAATATGATCTATAGTGCCGAGATCCATTCTATGCACTTCCTCTGGTCTTTATGTGGCATTGATACGTCTAAAGATCTCTAATCGTCGGGTTTCATCGTTAACGAAGACATCGCTTTGATGCTTCAATTACACGACCTCTGCCACAGGACGGTTTTCATCAAAACCCGAAGGGGTTTCCGGTCGTCTTCCACGGGCGCCGGAATGAGATAATGAGCCGGACGACGGAGGATGAGTGGTGCGGATGAAGAGCTTGATGCAAACTGACGGATGAGTGACAGTCATGCAGAGGCCTCAGACGAGTGGTCAGCGCTGGCAGTCTATCCATAATTACCGCCCTATCCAGGTGAGATGGCGCAAGTGGGCCGGGATCAGAACCTCCAATTGGCGCGGCCCAAAGTCTCAGTCCCACTTCAGCCATCGAATTTCACAGAAGTCCCATCACATTAGCTCACACATTGACTCCATCCGGAGGAGAACAGGGGCTCCTCTACAAATCAGCAACCAAGCAGAACATTTGAAGAGAGCAGAGCAGACTGCATAATTGACTCTGGACTAAGGAGACATTCACATCTGCAGAGGTGTGTATGATTCGAGGCTGGCCCTCTGCCTCATTCCGTTCACGTCTACCACCTACCCTCCCGGGCGAAATAAATTATGACCAACATGAATGAAGCGGCACCACCAGATGACGACGTTAGGTTTTAATGAAATCCCCTTTTACCTATAGCCACTTTGGGTAGATTAATTCGACAGACAAAAGACGGCAGAGGTGGTATTAATTTCGAAAGTATACCTGCAGGACCTAACCCATATCTGCAAATAACCCAACCACTACGAAACAGAAAGGCAGTCGGCTTCACGAACAATCAACTAGCAAATGCCACTAACGGAGACGCAGCCAAAACGACTTTTGTTGTGAGAGTCGATATTAAAGCCAAATTAGCTCACTTGGGAATTGGGCAACTCTAACGTAAATACTTATTCAGCCTAACAGAAGACTATAGGCAACTGCTGAGGAAGAATAAAAGCTTCATACTCATTCAAATATATGTGCAATGCATGTGAATGGTAACTACAGACACGGCATTGCCTTACTGACACTTTCTGTCGGATTATTAAGGATTCAAATTCTAGCCACAACAACAGCTAGAGCTGCTTGTCATTTTGCTGCCCTCAGATAGATGGGGCCCCTGTCACTAGAACGCACCCTAACGAACTCGGGCGTGGGAGCTGTGCGATTTCATCAAACTGCTCTACACTCCGGAAAATACGCTTATCGCCTGTCCATTGATCAGCGCCGGAGGAAAATCGCACTTTTAAGATTCAGCTGAGAGTTCAAGCGCCGGTCTTATCTATCAAAAGAGTGAATCGTCGTATTAAAAACAAATACAACTTTGCACTTCATGTTGATTTATAGGAAATGCAGAAGGAAAACCCGGTTGAAAATGTTGGGAGCAGATTTCGGTATTTGGTGGGGTAAATTTAAAAGTTTTTTAGTTGCCAATAACTGACTTTGTCGTTACGTGATAGTGTGTACAGATTTTGCCAAAATAAAAAATATTCAAAATTAAGTGTATAATCTGTAGAAGAAGTGAAACATTCTTCTGAGTACTTTCCCAAAGCATTGTATTCCAGAACAGAAAAAGCTACTACATATTACTGAATAAGGCAGCAAATCAGCAAAGTCAGTGTTACCTTTTGTCTCTCTGGAATTTTAAAGAAAAGAAAAAGTAATTCTTATATTTTTCCAGGGAGAATTGGTAGAAATCCTAAAGCGTTTAAGCTCTCTGTCTGGGCGGACCACGCCATCCCATACAGATAATAAAAATATTTGTGCAAAAAATGTATGTAGGATGTATGAATATAACTAACGAGCCTAAACCGTTGCCGACCTGTCACAGGATAGACAATATGACCTCTGAAGGTGTTCTGTGGTGTCTGTCACCATGACATTGCAGCACATCCTTCAAGTCCTGTAAGTTGTGAGTTGGAGCCGCCGTTGGTCACCGTTGGTCCAGCACATCTCACAGAAGCTCAATCGGATTGAGATCTGAGACATTTGAAGGCCATGAATCCTGGTGGACTCTTCAATCATGTTTCTCCATCCATTCCCAAACAATGTGGGCAGTGTGACACATTATTTGGCTGTAAAAGGCCACTGCCATCAGAGAAAACTATCACCATTAAGGATAATATCTGATCTGAAACAATGTTTAAGTTGGTAGCATGTGTCAAATGGAGGTGTTGGTAGCTCAGTTGTAGAGTGCATGCTTTTGTATATCTGTTGTCCTGGGTTCAATACCCAGCTTCTCCCCAGGTCACCGTTGCAAATGGGAATTTGTTCTCAGTCGGGCCTACCTAGTTAAATAAAAATATGACACAGAGTTCATATATATATTAAATATGATGTGTATGTAATTAGGCAAAATGCATTATCTATGTACATAGAAAAACACATGCATTGCTTTCTGGAAGCTTTATGACAGCTATCAAAGATTACAATCATCAAGCACCAGTATATAACTATTTTAGTGTTGTGTAATTGGGTGCTATTAGCCTAGCCTACCTCAGATTCATTTCCTGATCTTAAATGTGCTATTACCTTGTGTCTGATAAATGTTCATGGCTACCACTCCCTCAAGTGGTAAATGAGGATAATGACTGCACACCGTGTATTTCACAATGCCATTACAAGATTAGAGCAGACGTTAAACGGCAGTGACTTGCAAGTGATATTGGTCTTTTGTAGTTACAGGTTTCCCTAGACCTGGTTGCAACATTGGAGAAAACAGAATGTATATTCCCACAATACTGTGATATCCAGTCATATTTTGAAAGAGAAAATGGTCAATGCGTTGCAAGTCTTAAGCTCCAATATGCCTTAACAGACAGACTGAGAAACCAATACTTCAAAGAGGATTAGATAAAAATGATATCACAGAGATATTGACTAAGATCTTTCTCACAGAAAGTATATTTGATACCTCTGTATTACTCTCTAGTTGCACTTTTCATCTGGGGAGAAACCATGAAACCAATGCCGATAATCGTGAACCAATGCCAGGAAAGTAAGGTAAACCAAACAAGAAAATTAAATAAAACATTTTGAGAATGCATTTTAGGATCCATAAAAAAATACATAATATTTAAGTCATTTGAATTGTGTATGTATCTTTGTATGCTGTTATTATTTATACTATTTTTAGCATATCCACTGGTTTAATAGGAGTTGTACTAAAAATTAAGTAGTATTTTATATATATACCATAACCACACATCAATTCAATTAATCGGTGTACCTATTATTCAGTATTATAAGATTGAAACACTTGTAAAATAGTTTTATTTCATACTTCAACTGAGAGTTTTTTTTACTGACATGTGAACTACATCCAATGTTTTTCAGAGATGATTTGTCCAAAAAATCACAAAAATGAAACATAACTGAGTTGCCTGACTTAACACTGCCTAACTCTTGATATACAATACTGCATAAAGGAAAGGTTCAACGAAAGCAAAGCAGCAAAAAAACAGGACGGACAAAATGAGCAACTCAGGCACGTATACTGCTTGTGTGAAGTAAATTATGGCCGTAAAAGTAGTGCCATTTCCAATGCGATGAATGAAGACACTTTCTGTCTGTTTACAAACCCCAATAATGAAGAGCTTGATTGTATAAAAATGAAATAAAGTTGTTGGTCAATTACATTTACGTTCATATGTTAGTTTCATTTACTGAAATTAAGGAAATATATAATGAAATGTACCAAATGTATACCGTAAAGGAAGGAAAAAGGATGCCCTGCTGATTTGGTACATTTGCCCTGTTCATTTAAACAGTGACAAAGAGAATTAAAAAAATCCATTATAACACATTTCAAATAAGCTATAAATTGAGTTGCATTTTACTGAGTGAAATAAGTATTTGATTCCCTGTCAATCAGCTCCCAGCTGATTGACAGGGAATTTCTGGCTCCCAGGTGTCTTTTATACAGGTAACGAGCTGATATTAATAGCACTCTCTCTCCAGCATGGCCAAGACTGAAGAGCTGTCCAATGATGTCAGGGACAAGATTGTAGACCAGCAGAAGACTGGAATTGGCTACAAGACCATCGGCATGTAGCTTGGTGAGAAGGTGACAATAGAAGAAACACAAAATACCTGTCAATCCACCTCAATCTGCAGCTCCATGCAAGATCTCACCTAGTGGAGGTTCAATTACCATGACAACGGTGAGGAATCAGCCCAGAACTACACAGGAATATCTTGTTAATGATCTCAAGGCAACTGGGACCATAGTCACCAAGGAGACATTTGGTAACACACTACGCTGTGAACGACTAAAATCCTGCAGTGCCTGCATGGTCCCATTGCTCAAGAAAGCACATGTAGAGGCCTGTCTATGAACATCTGAATGATGTAGTGGTCAGATGAGACCAAGATGGAGCTATTTGGCATCAATTCAACTCGCTGTGTTTGTAGGAGGAAGAATGATGCCTATGACTGCAAGAACACCATCCCCACCGTCAAACATGGAGGTGGAAACATTATGCTTTGGGGGTGTTTTTCTGCTAAGGGGACTAGACAACTTCACCGCATCAAAGCTACGATGGATGGGGCCATGTACCGTCAAATCTTGGGCGAGAACCTCCTTTCCTCAGCCAGGACAATGAAAATGGGTAATGGATGGGTATTCCAGCATGACATTGACCCAAAACACACGGCCAAGGCAATAAAGAAGTGGCTCCAGAAGGAGCAAATTAAGGTCCTGGAGTGGCCTAGCCAGTTTCTAGACCTTTATCCCATAGAAAGTCGGTGGAGGGAGCTGAAGGTTCGAGTTGTCAAACGTCAGCCTCAAAACCTTAATAACTTGGAGAGGATCTGCAAAGAGGAGTGGAACAAAATCCCTCCTGAGATGTGTGCAAACCTGGTGGCCAAATACAAGACCACAGAAATGTACATTTGCAATTGTCATTTCAGTCATTCGAAATGAATCCTGTTAAAAACGGAATAGTAGAGGTCAGTATTAAGGAATGGTCTAAAATTATTTCCAATATGCATTCCATCTCAGAACCAGTACAGGAAATGGCTCAGGGCTCTTATTCCTGCAAGGAGGGGTTGCACAGAGAACTGAAAACAAAGCTGACAACAGGGAAGTACATGTAAAATTAAAGATTTTTGTTGCTATTTGTTTTGATTTAATATTTGTGCTGGAGGTCACTTTTGATTGTAATTTGGCTAACATGGCAGTTGGCGCACATGAACTTCCAAGGTAAGTGTTTTTACAATAAATAGTTTTGGCCACAAATCTATGGAGGGAACAAGACAACAACGTTATATTGGTCCCACGCAGACACATTGAAGATACTGTCCTTTCAAATTGAGTTGCAGAAGACAAAGGAAACTGACCAGGGTTGTTTAGGGACATTTTTAACAAAGACATAAATGAGCACTTAGAGTTCATAACCAACCACTCATTAATTTAATAACAAGAATGAGAATAAAATGATTATTTAGATTACTGGTTGTAATTAACCGCCTTGACCTGGTCATTTACATCTGAATCAGGAGTTTTTATTCTTTAACTTTGTACTTTTTACACCTCAGGATAAAACGGATAACGGATAAATAACAATGAAGTAACCGAAACAATAACTTTACAACCGTGAAAAATACAATGGAAATATACAAAATAATGACATTACAGAGTAAAATCAATTTCATGATCCTTCGTAATGTAACAAAATGTGAAGTCAAGGCGAGCGAATTCAATCCACACTATTTACACAGTCTTACAGCAGAGAACATTCAATTTCCTCTTAGTTGATGTATTTACTGAAGGCCAAACCCAACATCTGAGAGAAAACGGCACACAACATGGTGCATGAAGAACGCTGCAATAAGGAACTCAGCAGTCCATTATACCTGATGTACAGACAACCAGAGATCCAACAGGCAGCTGCACACTCTACCTGTCATTAAAGTTGACCGAGCCACATTGATTGGTCTTTTGATTTCAGCTATCCTGACTTCATCCCCGATGACGGCAAAACATTTTCGATCAAAACAGTTCCCACACAGAGAAAGCAGAATGCTGGCACAGCATGTTAGAGGTTCTAGTCTGATGGAAAGATCAGAGGACTGTTATTGATGGATACCATTACCTCACTGACATATAGAGCCTTGTGTAATTTTTCATGTTTCAGCGCTACAACAATAGCACATATTCTCTATAAATCACTCACAAAAGGAAATAACACATCTGTTCATGTGGTTTAACATCAAAGACAGTCCAATGTAATACTTATCATCCACACTATGTGAGAACTCCCCTAATAGAAATTGTTTAAACGCAACTTCTTAAAGCAAAATACTTCCAAGCCAATTCTACCAAGTTTCAAGCACCGCATGTCTAGCATGACATCGAGTCTATTTTTCTAATTATCGTTGATTTAACCTTCATCTTTTGTAGCATCCATCTCCTCAGGTGTCCACTCTTTAAACATATTGTGGCTTTTCCAATAAAATTCAGACGGGAATATCTCGGCCCATGCCTTTGTATGACAGACATGCAAAATCTCAGACATCACAAGCCCCTCATTTCTCAGGTTAATTTAGCACAGTGTACAAGTGCAAATTAATAAACATTAAACATTTATGTAGATATGGTCTGGCAAAAAAAGGGTTTTCTTTATTTGTTTGTCACCATTATTACTTTCTTTTTCTTTATCTGGTTGTTTGCATTTATATTTAATAAAAAGATAATAATTAATTAATTAATGATTCCATGTCAGTTTCAGATTCTGTATCTTCAATAAACCATATTTGAAACAAGACACTCTAGGCAGCAAGCAAGTTTCGGGAAAAATCCAGCCAATACCATGGAAACCACTTAACAACTTTATTGTTAAATGCAAAATTATAAGACTTGCGGATGCTAATTGCATGTATATATACACAGCAATATAAACTCTTTATTCAGATGCAAACAAAGCCACACATCAGTCAAATGAAAGAAATACAATTTTGCCACATTTATCATGGAAGGCAATCATGAAATTGTTTTTGGAAAGCAAATAGATTAATCCCAGTAAAATAAGAGTAATTTAATTTCCACTAATCTCAAGTGCAATCCAATTATTATAATTATTATTTATACAGCTATTAGTTGGCTTTGAGTCTCTTGTTTTCAACACCAGGCGTGGGTTCCTCTGGCACTCGTTTGGAACCTCTACCTAACTCCACTGCATTGAGGGTGCCCTGTTCTTCCATGCTTTCAGCTCCTCTCATCTGTCTAAGCTCCCTCTTTTCTC